GTAGTGGTAGTGGTAGTGGTAGTATGAGTTGTATGAGTTGTAATAGCAGCAGCAACACTACTTGTTGTTGTTGTTGTTGTTGCTCAGATTGTTGCTCCTCCTGCGCTGCTAGAGCTCTGCAACTGCTACTTCTGTTGGTGTAGTCACTCGTCTTGTTGTTATCCCTTACTGCAACTAGTATGGCATGCCACATGGCGCGGTCGGATGCACACGCGACAGCCGGCAGAGGCCCTGCAAGTGCTTAACATCTTGAGGAAAGCTCCGAAGAACTATAAGAACTAAGCATGGCTGGAGGATGCCGTTCCTACGCTGAACACCGAAACGGAAGCAATCCACCACAACCAGATGTAGCTGCCGCAGATTGCATGGCGAATTGATGGCCAGGCCTGGCCCATGGAATCCGTTGGGAGGAGCCATCAGAAGCCATCTGTTGCGGCCTGTGAGACCCGTCCTAGCCTACAAGTAGTGCAACTCGCCCTCTCTCTGCAAGGCTTCGAAAAAGTCGGGAACCAAGGAACCAACCGGACTGCAGCTGCACATGGCTGGACAGGATGTGGCTCGGTGCTTTCCTGAACTACTGATTTACTGGGCTTACCCGAAGGATGTCAATTCACCACGTCTTGCCAATTCGCCTGGACAGTGGAGAGTGCATGCTTCGAAACCCCAGCACTATGTCTCCAGTGCCGAATCTTTTGCATGCTTTCATCTGCTTTCATCTGCCGCAAGGGGGATGATATCGCTCCATACACAGCTTAGCTTGTCTCTTCCCAGTGAGCTTTCTCGAGCCAAAGAACTCGACATGACTCCAAGCACTTGCAGAAGCCCCAGACTTTCGACTCCGACACCTCGGGAGCCATGTAGCGAGGCGACCCGCCATTGTTCTTCTTCGTGATGTGCGTCCTTTCCTGGCGGCCAATCTCCGAAGCGAAGTCGTCAGGACACAACGAGCCCGGGCCCACCATCGACTCGGTCAGTCCGAAGTCACAGAGCTTCAGGTTCAGGCTGAGGTCCAGGACAACGTTCAAGCTCTGCCATGGCGACACTCTGGAGGCAGGAGTCCATCCCACTAGTCCTAAGGATTATCGTAAAAATCAAAACCAATAGTTAATCACAGTAGTCGTTCGAAGAACTCGCCCAAACCGACTGCCAGCACTTTTGCCTTCAGGTCGCGGTGTACGACGATAGGGTTCTGCGAGTGGAGGTAGACGACTCCTTCTGCCAGCTGAAGGCACCTGGATCGCCCGGAGTTCCAAAGAGAACCCAAGAACTCGTGGACCTTGGATCTTTAAGGTTGGCACATATTCGTGCAGTGGAGCAGCCTTGGCCAGTGAAACTAACTTCCAGAGCCACTGTTACAACTTCGACCCGCTGAGCAACGGGAGCTGCAGTTTGCGAACATGCAGGAGGTGATGAAGGGACCCGCCGGGAGCATACTGCAGATCAGGGAAGGGATGCTTCAGAAACCGAGCTTCCAAAGTCACAGGAATGCACAGTCAGCTGCCTCTGTGACGATGCACCTTTGTCAGTCACACAGCCGCCTCCGACTGCCATTTCTCAGGCCGTGACAAGCCGAGCTTGTGGCAAGTTGGGTATTTCCAAACACGCACCGATGAAGTTCACAAGGCGCTTGTGGCGCAAATGCCTCAAGAGAAAATCGTGTGAGTGGTGCGTTTCATGAACCTGTCCACGCTGCACACCAGGTCTTGCCTAAACGACTCGATTTCGCGAGTGAGGTCCTGGATGATCACCTGCGCTGCGCCCAGGCTCGGATCCCAAACCTAGGGATGAACAAGAGCCCTTGATACTTCTTGAAGTTTTTGCGACGGGTGATTGTCCAACTGTCGCTTCGGCACAGTGTAATTGCGATAGTGTGCAGCTCTTCTCCGAAAGCCAGTGCTGGACTCCTTTGCATTTCCTTTGTTGCACCGGGTTTTTTTCACATCCGACCACAGCCAGCCGAAAACCTGGAAGAAGGCAGCTGCGGCTGCTCCCCACCTGTGGCAGGACCGTGTTGTCCCAGTAGAGCTGCTTGATGGCAACCTGTGGTCGCGTAAAAGTTCTGTGAGGGCGCACCACTCTGCCCAGGGAGCCTCCTGCCCTTTGAAGAATCCACGGAAAACCTGCCCGAACTCGCCAGAACCTGTTTCAAGGCTGTCGCTCTCTACGGGCCAATTTTAAAGCTACGTGCCGCCACTCAGGTCCCAACCCAGGTGCTCAACAAACTGCAGCTCACGATAGGCTGGCAGGATCAGTTCGACAGTGCTGAGTGGCGGCTTTTGCATGCAGGCCGCGCCTAGCCGCTCGTCGGTCGTAAGCTGCCCACGACTCTTGGGTAAGCTCCCCTGCAATACGTGCAACACATGCACGACAGCACTTGACCATTGTCAAAATGACGAAGCCTGTGGCTTTGCGGACCGCTCATCGCGGAAATCCTAAGCGGTAGGTCCACTGTTTCCAAATGCCTCCAGCATGCCCACTTCAAGCTGTAGTGGGTGGTGCACCGCATCATCGTCTTCCAAGCCAGGCCACACCGATAACCTGCTCAGAACTTTCTGCACAAACCTGGCACATGTCACTGCACCGCCACCAAGTCGTCGGCAGTGTCGCATCTGCCGGTGCTGATGAGTTCATCGGCCGCACCTTCTGCAAGAGCTGAATGGTCGCAGGGTCGATTTTACAAAAATGCAGTGCAGTGGCCAGAACACATGCTGCGTGTAAGCTACGTTCTGTCTGAAGGCGCAACACTGGGGATGATCAGCATGCCAGCTTCGTCTGTCGCAGGAACCTCAACAGCTGAAAGACATCTGCACAACGAGCCTCAGATGACCGAATGAGGCTCGAGCTCCAGGTTCTAATCGAGGAGGCCCGGATCCTGCAGATGTGGATTCTTCTCATTAAGGTCCTTAAGGTTCTTCTGCTGAAAGCGAAGAACAAGCAAGCAGGCAGGGGCTCACCAAGACCAGCAGCAGGTGCCGTATTTGTGCTTCCATTGGGCACAGCCTTGCGTGATGGTTCAAGACAGCCCTGGCAACACTCTCATCAACGGAGCATCCGACCTCGCGAGCGGAAAGCAGCTCTGGTCGCGGTAGCACACCTTCACTTCCCAGGCTTTCAAGGATGCAGGACGTTGCTGGACTCCTCCGCTTGGGCCGGCACATGCACTTCTGCGGTTTGCAGGCGGCAGCGCTGCCTGGAGTGTTTTTCCGGCCAAGAGAGGGGCCCCGAGGCCCTTCTGGAGCCTGGCCTGCGCAGGTCTCGCACCGGGACCCGATGCCTGCGCCAGGTCGACAGTCCAGGGGAAAGGTGCCCAGGAGGCTCGAAGAGAAGCCGGGGGCCTCTGGCGGAACCGCATAGGTTGGAACCCGGCCAGTCCACGGTGTGGTCCTGCGGCTGTGCAGTCTCAGCTTTTGCCGGGGTAGCCTGCATTTTGTGGCACTCCTCGTGTAAGTAACCTGGCATGGAGATCCGCAGGTGTCTACCATGACCGCCCCCCATAATACACTGACGGCAAGAAGCACCAAGCAGAGATTGTAAGGCATCGACAGGCCACGACTTGCCGTTCATAGCATCGGTAGCGACATGGCCTATCGAGAGCATTGCAAATATCGCAAGGTTTCGGCACCTTCCTCGACCCCTACGACTACCAGACTTTGCGAAACAAGATTGAGCACGATACCCTCCGCAGCGACAGCCGGTCTTATCTGCGCAGGCACAAGACGGTCCAGTCAAGTTCGCGCAAGACAGATTGGGCAGGCACAACGCGAAAGGCCAAGCAGACCTGGCTGGCAACGTCTTTCTGAGGCCTGGATCGTTGCTACGCTCCGTCAATTTTTGCCGGCTGGAGCTGGCAGCAAAAAGAATCTGGGGCTGTTTCTGCACGATGCTGACTGCCGGAGACACTCTCATCGCGGCCTCACGGAATGAATACACACGCCTCGCATGACGACATGATGCAAGCTCCACGGCTGGGCAGATGGCGTCGCATGCATATGGATAGGCTTGTTGCACCTGCGTGACCTGCGCAAGGGAGCCGATAATCTGGTGTGGAAACAGGGGGAGACGGCCGGGACAGACAAGGGCCAAGATGCAGACACAGACGCGGACACTGACAGGCAGGGTGAGTGAGTGAGCGTGAGTGAGAGAGAGAGAGAGAGA